AATGAAGAGATGGGAGATCTGTTCCTTCATGCTAAAGCCTTCTGATGCCTTTAAGCTCTTAACAACAAATGTGAGGCTCAACGTGTCCTGTGACATCTCATCAGGACACAGGATGGGTCTGTGCCAATGAACTGAATTGTCAGGAAAAAGGTATGGGCACAAGAACCTGGTGAAATTCCATCCCTGGCCTGGTTTTGACCCTGGAAAAAGAGTCCTGGGCATGTTTTAGGATCTTGCACATTCCCAACAGACAATTTTGGATGCAGATATCYAGTTTTGATAGCTAAGAGAGGCCACGGATGTGACCAGATGGGGCTGGTTGGTCCCAGCACCAGGGAGCAGGCCTGGCACGGGTTAGTTTACTAGCAGAGGTGTTGCTACCAAGGCTGGACGTCTWTATCAGCACAGTAACAGACCACACACTGCTACCCTCTTGCTCTTGTGTAAATGTTTATTTTTAATTTAATTATGTAATGGATTTCAAATGAGCTGCCAGAGACACTAACAAAAGGCTGCAGGCATGATCCTCTGAAGTCTTCTTATGGATTGTGAATGTTTTGGGTTTTTTTGGCCTGAATTTATTTAAGTTCTTCTCACTCAATAGACAGACCCTTTCGAAGCCACTTCTGGCTCGTGCTGGGGACCTGCCCCTCTCCTTCAACTGAAATGCACTCAGGGGCAAATCTGCAACCCCAGCTGCCTGCAATAAGCATCAGGGATTAGGTACCATGAGTCCACTTGGGTGCCCCCTTCATCCAACAAAAATCCACACGGGCTCAGCCCTGAGGTGCAGCTTCACTGGTCACTTCTTATGCGATCACTGAATAAAAGCCTGTTCTTTAAGGCAAAGTCCATGGGGATCAATCTGCTTGGGCACTGCCATCTCTAGCAGGGGGATAATGGCATGTCCAACAATCTCCATCCTAGCTGGGAGCAACCTCTGAGATGGCCTGAGGGCCACCTGGGTTGGAGTTAAMCTGGAAATGTGGCATTGGTACCTACAGAGGGCAGCAGGTCTCCAGCTAACACTGTCACCATCTGTCCCCTGGTCACTGCCAGGGCCAGGCTGCAAACAGAGATGCTCGCAGGGGGTTATGGTGACCCAGCTGTTCATCAGCCTGGACTTTGAGAGACATGAAGAGTCCTGGAGAAAAGGAAATGGCTAATGGTCACAGYTTTGTTTCCTCATCCTCTTGGAGATGCAGGGCAGTGTGAAGATCTCACGGGGCATGTCAAGACAAACAGGTACTTGGGAGTTATTACACCTCCAGTTTAGACAGGAGTAGCTGTCCCAGTAAAGGCATAGCATCTGAAGGGAAGGTCATGAGGGTTCTCTGCTCAAGATGAGGAAGGGCTCCAGCGCTATCTCCTTCCCCTGAATTCAGTAAAAYTTGTTGCTGGTGTCTGCAGGACTAAAACTTTACCATCAGAGTCTCTGGGATATGAAGAGGGGGACTCCCTTAGAATCACAGAATCACAAAATGGTTGAGGTTGGAAGCGACCTTTAGAGATCATCTAGTCCAACCCCCCTGCTCGAGCAGGGACACCTAGGGCACGTGGCACTTAGAGGATGGGGAATGTGAGCATGATGACTGATGGAGCCTTTCCATCACCAGAAGCATGATTTTGATGGAAGACCCAGTTCGGCTGTATTGGACAAAGCTGTTGTGCTCCCCAAGATGTTCACTCTTTGTCCCCCACTATGTGCAGATCACCACCCCCCACAGCAGGGGCTCGAGCAAGGAGCGTGCGTCCACACCGTGGCTTCCTCTGTTTGCAAGAGGACAGCTCGGCCGACAGTGCCGTCAATGTGGTTTTGTGCAGAAACGTTGGACCTTGAGATGTGCATGTGTCCTTCCACACCCACGCAGCCATGGGGTGAGGTTGCATCTGCAGGAAGCTGCCAAGAACGAGAGCATAGGAGGCAGCAGGAGGCATGTRGAGGAGTGTGGCGAGGCCTTCAGTGCTCAAGAGCTTTAGGAGAAGCTTTGGCTCCAGCTTGTCCTATTGTCCATCTAGCTGGACGTGCAACCCCTTAGTAGGATGCATTTGTCCTTCTCCCTCCAAGATTTCCTCCAAGGTGAATCTATTACCAAAATCCTCCAGTTTATCCCAGATACTGAAGTCCCGGGGTTTGATTTGACACAACTTGATAGTCTCATTGGGCTTGTCTCTTGTCCCTGTCCCCACACAATCTTCTACTTGAATGGAGGCATCTTGTCCAGAGCTCCAGCTTCACCAAAGTCCTTCTGTAGGTCATCCTAGGCAGTCCTGGTCTTGCATTCCTGTTTGTCCTGGTAAATTCTGGCTGATTTTAGCAGAGGAAAAGATATTTTWAAAATATAAATTCTTGCAAAGTTTAGTTGGAAGCAAGCACCCAGCAGAGGAGAGAGGAGATGAAGTCCTGCAGCGGAGAAGCTGTATGGCGAGCATGGCCAAGGCTGCTGTGCACCAGGACATCCACCTTAGTAACAGCACAGRAAACCAGATTGCTTAATCAAGGCAAGGAAAACGTGGTGGCTTTTGCATTGAGTGTTGTCCCTCAGAGAACACTAGCATTTTTACTATATGATTCTATCAGGCGAGTCATCAATCATGACGAGAGCAACAAATACATTTTTGCTTTAAGTACTACTAAAACCATGGTGGGGTTTCAGTTGCCACCTCTGGGGTTTTTTTGTTTGTTTGTTTGCTTGTTTTTCCAAGCTAAAAGAAAAATACAAAACAGTTTGATACCTCCATAATTGAGTTTGCAAATATGTATGTTGGGTTAGTGGACTATTCCTCTCTCCAAACTCCAAAAAWTTCCCAAACTCTGAAGGATTAAAAATAATTTCCAAAGAAAATCAAGATCACTTCCAAAGTTTTGGCCTGTCTCATTGGTCATTACCATTTCTGTTGAGAAATCTGTTAACTCCAGTTCACTGCAATAACTCAAGGATTTAAAATCTCATCACTGAGATGGAATTTTTTCCACCTCTTTTTTTTTTTTTTATGGAAAAAGTCAACTTTGTGTTCCACCTTTACCTACAATATTGTTGTACTCTTTTTTTTTTTTCTCCAGAACTGCCAGTGTGACAAAAATTCCACTTCCAGTCTTACTTGGGTTCCAAATAAGACTACTTGGTAACATATCATCCTTCTGGTCATCTGGAAAAATGGAAGCAGAGCAGCCTTGGGTGGACACCACCTGCCTAGATTTCATTTGTCCAAAATTTCTGAATCTACCTTTAATCCTT